AATTACAAGCTCCTTCGCCTCAGCTCGAAAACGACGATCATAGACCAAGCCATATCCATTCCCCGCCTTTTTACCCAAAATCTGTGTAAAATGCACATCTGATGGTAGAACAGGCGTCGTGGCTAAACCGGGGACCTCCTGGTGCATTTTCTGTTTCCCAGTCGCCGGCGCGTGGCGGTCACGCGCCTCCGACGCAGCGCGTGGTCCTCTCCGACCGTCCCCCGGCGTCGGAATCCCCAGCCTAGCCCTCTGGTCAGGCGCGTTTGTCAAAAGGGGACCTCTATCCTGCAGATCTGGGACGGCGGCGGCGCTAGGGTTTCCATATTATATTTTTTATTGTGCTATATGTACATAATAACTTATATAATAATTTATCAACAGATGAATGACAAGATTTAATTGGATTAAAATCTTATCGATCAAATAATTTTTTCACTTACATTTTGACACTATATCATTATGTAAAAAAAAAATTATGTAAATAGTTATGTATAAGAAGTATTTTCCTTATATTTCTGTCTACTATTTGCTATTTTTTTTTCTCATATTAAAAATATATTATAAATGAAACTTCTTGCTCATATCCTTCAGAACCCAAGAAAGAGCTAAAACTTACTATCAGAACTAATTTTACCTGTAGGACATGAGCCAGCGCTGTCTGAAACTTATCTAATGGAAGGTTGACAAGATGAGGAAAAATAGGTAAAACCTGTAGTCATAAACAATTAAAATCCAGACACAGAAAAAGAAAAAAAAAGAGCTGGAGTTATAACAGCAGAAGGAAAAATGGATAAAATTAGTCTCCAAATGAAAAGATGTAAAGTTTTTTAATTGAAATCACCAAGAATCAGGATAATAAAAGGATAAGGACTAACTTAAAAGTATTCTAACAACACTTTACTCAACTTTTTAAGCAAAATCTTGATAAAGAACTCCTTACATGCAAGAAATATACAATAAAAAAGAATTTTATCCCCTACCATACATGAATTTTAGAAGAAACGAGCAGACATCAAACTCATTTAATCTATAAGTATCAAGAGCACCATAAGTTTATCAGCCTCCAAGCTCCCATCTTCTCTAAAATTCCTTTTTTTTTTTTTATAAATAATTAGAAAATTATATTAATAAAAGAATACGCAAGAAGTGTATCATCGGTTTAAACAAGAAAGAAACGATATAAAGTTAGGCAGCCCCTCTATAGGATTACTAGTAGCCGCATTAAACCATCTTCTCTAAAATTCTCAAACTTCAATGAGAAGGAAAAGTACTTGTCCTTGCACAATTGCTGAGCTTTATTTCTCAACTTTTAAATTTAGAAGAAGGATGATTTCTTACATGGTTTTAGATCATGAACCAAAAATTTATAGCTTCCTGATTTTTTTCCAGAAAGAATCACCAGTTATTTTGACATTCATTAACATGATTTCCAGTTTTCCTTCGTTGGAAAATTGCATTCTTGAGTTAAAGTCATTTTTATTGTTCATTAGAGCAATCGTTATCCCCTTAACAATTGTAGTATTGCATCTATTATAAAAAATGCTCGTATTTCTCCATCAGCCCTATTCTTACTGAAAACCCTAGAGAGCATAGAGAAATATGGTTATAATTTATCTATCGACAGTATCAATGGCAGAGATAAGTTATTATGTTTAGTGCATATATGTAATTAAGTGTTTTATAAATGGTGTAATATTCTCTTTTGGGCTTTTGGTGATTTTGGTGTTACTCGACATCTCTTCTGGGCTTTTGGTAATTTTGTTATGTTGGTTTATTTTCGTTGTGGGATTTGGTGATTTTGGTGCCATTGGGTTCTGTTTAGACGATATTTGATAATTTTGAAGTCAGTCATTTTGGAAGAAAGTCCACCTAGAACTTTTCTATTAAATTTACGGGCAAGAATTATGCCACATGAGAATTCCAATTCAAAATGCTTCTGAATAGGAAGGAGCTTTGGGGCCACATTGACAGATCTTCCACCTCTGAAGAGGCCAAAGAATTTAATTAACGGGAGACAAATGATGGTCGGATCATCGCTTGGATTATAAGATCTATTGAAGCTCACATGGTGAACAACTTGCGCTCCTTTGGTACAGCGACTAGCGTATTTCATTCATTGTTTTAATACGACTTTAGCTTGCTATTTAGCTGTTCTTGAGAATGTTTATAACGTATATAGGTGTGTTTTGATATTGTGAGATAGGTTGATTGAAGTGGTGAAAAAAGGTGCAAAAGAAGGGAAGGAAAGGAGAATAAATTTTAGAAAATCAGGTGCCACAGCGTCGTAAAATAGGCGCTAACATAGAAGAAGTAGATTGTGTGACGCCGCCGTGCAGGAAGATTGTTTTGATTATTTTGGACTCTTCTCCTGGCCCAATCCATCCCAAATTCACCCAAGACTTGATAAGGATATAAATACAACCTTATAGACCACTTTGAAAGAGAGCATTGAAGGGGACAAAATTCAAGAAATCAAGAAGGAAGCAAAGGCAACTTGATGAAGAAGATTGATTCGAACATTCAAAAAATAGTTTTATCACTCTTCTCTTCACAAACTAAATAATTCTTCTAGGGTTTGATTAGCTAAAACTTAAGGATATGATTTGTTTCTGTTTTAATTGTTTATACGAGTTTTTCCTTTCTATTTATTTGTGCAATTAATTTAATACTTTCAATAAATTAACCATTAATTGAATAATTAAATGTTAGTCAATTCCAACACTTAAGAGAGGAGAATTTAGGCACGATCATAACAATAACACAACCTAGATTTTATGAGTTTCGAGAGAAATTTGGCGCGATCATAACAATAATACTGAAGATTAATGAAAACAAATATCTGAAGAAACAGGTACATAAAACAGAAGACACACTACATGTCTTGATTAAGCCACAAACACTTGTTTTTAAGGATTAGACCTTTGATAAGAGGTTAGTAACATAGTTGATTCTAGGAAGTTGAAGCTGAAGTAGTCCAAAATAAAGAGAATCCGCATATGTTGATATACTGAACTACAATTAGTTAAGTCCAAGCAAACTGGAGAGGATAAGGAGTAGTGATTTGAAAATCAACCTTAAAATGCACCCTTGGGAAGAGAATGAAAGAAAACAAGTTTGGGGGTGTGAATTCCACGAGCGAAGAAATGATATATTTAACTTTTGAGGTCGGGAATTGAATCAACTTGTGAATGTACAGCATTACACTTAAATCTTCACACACAACCTAGTTTACATTGAATAGGTGAGAATTTAGCTTTTGAATTATAGTTTTGAAATAGCTTAATAAAATCCTGAGTCATTAAGTAAGATATCCAACTAAACTTGTTCTATGTAAGTTCGTTTGTTACTTTTGCTTGTGATCATTAATCCAGTTCTTTTTCTCTATGTTTGCTTAAAGACAAGCAAAATATTAAGTTTGGGGTGTTTGATGAGTGTATTTCACTCATTGTTTTAATACAACTTTAACTTGTTATTTAGCTGTTCTTAAGAGTGTTTAGAACGTATTTGTGTGTTTTGATGTTGTAAGATATGTTGATTGAAGTGGTACAAAAAGGAGCAAAACAAGGGAAGAAAAGGAAAAGAAATTTTCAGAAAATCGAGCATCACACCGCCGTAAAATGGGTGCCGCAGCACTCAGTCAAGTAACACAAAAGAAGCACAATGTGTGGCGCCACTGGAAGAAAGTCGCGCGCCGCCATGCAGGAAGATAGTTTTATTTTTTTTTACTCTTTTCTCGATCAAATCCGTCCTAAATTCACCCAAGACTTGACACGACTATAAAGACAACCCTAAAGACCAATTTAAAAGAAATAATTGAAGGGGGAAAGATTCAAGAAATCAAAAAGGAAGCAAAGGCAACTTGGCGAAGAAGATTGATTCAACCATCAAAAAAATAATTTCATCTTTCTTCACTTCATGTTATTCTTTATGAATGTATAGATATAGATTTCATGCCTCATCTCATGAACTAAATAATTCTTCAAGGTTTGATTAGCCAAAACTTGAGGATATGATTTGATTTTGTTTTAGTTATTTATATGAAATTTTCCATTCCATTTATTTGTATGATTGACTTAAATACTTTCAATTAATTGGCCACCAATTGAATGATTAGATGCTAGTTAATTTCGACACTCAAGAGAGGAGAATTTAGGTACAATCATAACAATAACAAAACCTATATTTTATGAGTTTCGAGAAAAAGTGTAGAATCTATGAAGCTTGTTCCATCTAAGAACCACGATCTTGATAAATCTTGATTTTAATTCAAAATAAAGATGTTGGAATTAATTTCTATGATTAATTTTTACCCGACACTAGAGAGAAGGGGCAGAATTACATTAGTGTTGTTGCTTATAAACAAGATTAATTGATTAGAGATAACTATGTTTTTTTAAATCATATTTGATAGTTAGGTGAAATCATAACTCCGGGCTCTCTCCCATTGATAAATTCTTAAAAATTGCATTTATTCATTAAGTACGTCACAATCATCCCTAATTTAGATCAAAAAGACTACACTATTATAGTACTTAGTATAAAATTAAATTACAACACCTAAGGGTTCGACACTCTTAACTCCATTCATATATTACAAAACTTGACACCGTACACTTACAGTATATTTTGTGGTATAGAAAACGCGTAACAGCTAAGGAGATGTGGGAGTCTTTGAGGCGTATATACCATCGAGACAATATTGTGAGATGATTTCAACAGGAGCTCAAAATTAGGAACTACATTCAAGGTAATCTCATCATTAAGCAGTATTAATTTATGTAGCAAATATTCTGATATTATCACTAATGTACCCAAGCAAATCATCCCTTTCAATTAGTTCATGATATTAGTAAGCGTCGTTAGTTCTCAATGAAATTGAGACTTCAATTTGAGGTTGCTTAGGCAGCATTGCTGAATAGAGATCCGATACCTTCTTTGGATGTGTGTCTTGGTGAGCTATTTCAAGGGGAACAAAGAATCGCGACACAAGCTGTTTTGGCACTGCTAGAGAGACATGTGATGTGGTCAATGTTGCATATGCTTCTCAAGGAAGGAATTGAGGAAAGGGACAGATGCAGTGAGCTTCGGCATATTACGCGTAATTGCAGTAAAAAAGTCTGCAATTATTGTAAGCAGATTGTACCCATTATAAAGAAATGTCCTACACATCTCGCAAACTAACAAGCACAAGCCTTTAATGCTGATGTTCCAAACCTTGTTTTCTGTGCCTGCCATTTACTACAGCTAGTACCAATTAGTATGTCCTTACGCCAGAATTTTTTGCCTTTAGACTTCAAGATCAAGGTAAGATTGTTTCTCCTCCCAGGTTTTTTTGATAACCTTCGGAAGTATATTGGTGCAGAACATATTTAAATTGCTAATGTAAGTAATCTTCCAATTATAGCCATTGCTAATAGAGCATTTGACTAGCTTCAAGCACCACAGTAATCCTTCACTTATCTGGGGTCCCTTTATATAAGGGGGCTAAGCGAATTTCTTATATGATGGCCTTATTCAGAAGGTTAGGAACACGATATATAGTTGGACTTCTCACCTATTTTTTGGTGGCCAAATCACACTATTGAAGTTCGTTCTTTCGTCTTTACCACTTTACCTACTTTAGATCATGCAACCTCCTAAAACTGTAATGGAAAAATTGGAGAGTATTTTTGCGCGATTCCTTTGGAACTCTTAAGGATTAGAAGCAAAAGTTACACTGAAGGAGATGGAAGTATCTTTACCTTCCTACTGATGAAGATGGCCTTGGCTTCAAAAGATTGCATGGCATTGTCGACACTTTCTCCTTGAGGCTATGGTGGCTTTTCCGTTCACATGTGGGCTTAGTCTTTACTGGACAAACTACTACAGTTTCTTTCTTTTACTAGAGAGTGTGGTAGGATTTGATACCGATTGATGTGGCCATTTAGAGGAGGATTGCCTATCATATGGACTTTCATTGTCAGTGTTGCTTGGAGATCAAGAGAGTTCACATTTTTTCACTGGAAGCACAATTTTTTATCGGGGTCATCACGAGAGGGAGTCTAATTCCATATATGGAGATACTTGTGCCAATATGTTTGCAAATGACACACTAGCACTATCATCCCCCTGTTTATATTTTGGTTCCTTTGACTTGCCAGGAATGATGCAAAGCACAATGAGATTCGCATGGAGCCTAGACGGATCATTTGGAGAGTATCGCATGGTTTCACTCATCCATATGGGTCACTTATTTCAACCTATTCATTGGCGCGGAGACTTGACTATCGCCTCATCTTTTAGTCTTTCCGTGAATATTTTCCCCACCCCTCCTATTTTTATTTTTTAGCGTACTCCAATGGTGAGAACTCACAAAATCAACATTGATGAATGCCTCACGAATGGATTTGTAGTTGTTGGAGCATTATTCGGGACCAAAATGGACATTACATTAGGGCCTTCTGGTAATCATATGGAGAATGTCTTAACTTGGAGGTTGAGTTATAGGCTATCTTATATGTAATTTCACTTGCTCAACAACGCGGATTATCGGACATTTAGGTAAAGATTAACTCATTTGTGGCCTCCACTACTATCTATAGGAGTGAAGGACCATGGGCGATTCAGATCATTCTCAGACGGATCAGACACTCTCATTTGACCATGATATTGTTTCCCACACTTATCATAAGGGCAATCAGATTGTCGATTATCAATAGTATGGATCACCTAACCTACTACGACAAATTCAGGTCCTTTTGCAGATTGACAGACATGGACTTCCCACCATTAAAGGACACTAACCTTATTCTTACTCTTTTGTAGCTTTAAGTATTTTCCTTCATTTGCAGTACTCCCCCTCTTATTATTCTCCTTCATTTGTTGCATTTCTTCGCTTTCGGGATGTCAAGTTATGTCTCCTTTCCTTTTGTTCTCATGAGTTTACTTTTCAATATACGGTTGGAGAATCCTAACCCCCATCAGCCTTCCCTAATGGGTACCTAAAAACCCATTGAGGTCGTATCGCTGTTTTGTTTTAAAAAAAAAAAAAAAAATTGCTAACAAGCCACTTGTGAGGCCATTTTCTAAAATAATTTATTGGCAAACGTAAATAATGTGATTTTTTTTCGATAGAATATGAGTAAAAAAATTTCTTGTACATTTTCCATGCAAAGGATTTCTACTAGAATATAATGTTTCAAACACTTCAGATAATTCTTGCTTATTGTTGAGAACAGATAGGTCTTCATCCAACATTTTGCACCCAAGTACATATAAAAATAAAAAATCAAACATCATAAAATAATGTCAGACATTTCTAGAAGCAGGATATAGTTAATACCTCATCTCTTGAAAATGATGATAGTATTGGTATAAGAATAGAAGCATCCTGTCAAAGGAAAAAAATATAATTGTCCCATGAGGACCAAATATCATAAATTAACTAGTGAATGATCTGAAAAAAGAACACAAATATATGGGGGTAATAACCTTTAGTTTGGTATCATATAATCGTTTGACAGCGGCCACTAAATCAGTCGGTGTCTTCCCTTCAGATAATACATGAAGCACCTTCAGGTGAAACAATTCAGTGTCAGGTTACGAGGAAAACAGTCCTGGACATGTTTAAACAAATAAGAAGCGTGAAGCTTAAAGAAAACTACCTGTGTCAGTAGTTGTTCACTTCCTTGGGGTGGATCAGATATTATCTGAAGTAATTCGGAATATGATGAACCCAGAGCCCTTATAAGAACAGGGGTATGACGATGCACAGCCTACAGCAGCAACATAAATTTATGATGCTGGAAGAAGCAGGTAACAGAACTAAAAGCAGTAAGAAACATGTAGACCATAATAAAAGTGCCTCTTTCCTGATAAGCAAAGTGGTCATTTCCAACAAACAGATCGTGTCTCCACTCTAGACCCTTGTCTTAACAGTTTGTAAAATCTAAGCACACTATTATCTTTAAATAAAATTTAACAGATAATTTCCAGCGAAAATCAAAACACTAAGCCATTTTCTTTTTATGGCAGAGAGATCAAGATTTTTCATCAAAGCTAGTCAAACTTGATAGCTTCAGTGGCACAAAATAAGATGAGATAGAAAGTAGTGGCAGGCAGACATAAAGACCTGCGCCATGTAGCAGGTGCCCAAGTATATTCAGTATGTTTCCAAATGTAAACCATGACCTAAAATTATTAAAACAAAAAGGTGGATGATCTCAAAACTGTTACACCACCTATAACCAGATCATTGTTAGCCAGGACAGTGGAATTTTCCATTGCAGCAATTTTTAATTGCATTGGTATGAGAGACAATTTAGTGACGAGTGTTGATCATTCCAGAAAATAATTAAGGATCATTACAGATAGAGAATCCAGTAAGCTATAACCAAAATGGCAAAACTTTAGTTGCTCACATCTATTACTTGTTGGAGTTGCTAAATAGGCGTGCACACTGGTTCAATATAGGAATCAATTTTAAATCTCCAAACACGAACAACCTCAAATCATGCCATAAATGGGCACAAAAGCATGCAGAATATGTTTCACTTAATAACGGTTTCAGTGGCTTTCATGAAGAATAGCAGAAAAGAGGGCAGTAAAACACCAAGGAAGGTAACTCATACAGAGTAAACTTTAGAGCGATAATGAAACGTTCAGATAACAAAGAACAAACAAAATCAACAGAGACCTGCTTAACAGCCTTCGATGCTCGTGCATAATTATTAAACACAAGTTGAAGGAGGCTTGGTTTCTGCAAGAAAAGAAAACCATTGTCAGACGAAGTGATAAGTAGGGGGTGTACAGATCTCTTTTCTTCATTTATCAAACGAACGCATGCCAACCAACCTTTGCACATAATGCAAAAAACAATGAGACAAGTCGCTGTGCTTGAGAAAATGAAATTGCTGAATCAGAGGTGGATTCTTCTGCAACCTTAATGGTATCATTTTCTGAAACCCCAGGATCTGAAATTTGAGACACACTTACAGATGTTTCTTGGCTTCCCACCTGAAAAGATATTTTACAGAGGGATAAATGCACGGTTATAATTAATGTAGTTCAGCCCTATACACCAAGAAAGACACAAAATCAGGTTATAGCAAGCAACAACTTGTTTTATTCATAGCATGGATGATGTGCCAAGTGAGCTCAGATATATGTGTAAATGCATGAAACTTGTGATGGAATTATCTGCAGTGCCTTGATCAAGAAAATAAGCAGCTTGAATAATTTCAAATATTCAAAAAGAAAGCCCTCTATGTAACATGTGTCTCACACAGAAAAATATGCTCGACCTGTGAGAATTTGATGAACTATGAGAACCTCTCTCAGGATCAAACGTTAGCTGTAATTCAATCCCAATAACATATGCAAACATCATATGGTGTTGATAACAACCTAAAAATGCAGTAACGGGATGTTGTTTGGGACCAATACAAGGCAATACAGTGAACATGTGCAAAATTGATTCATATAGATAGCTCATTCTTGTAAATAAGCGAAGGATGCTCCAATAAACACTTCATCCAAGAACTTCACATCAATCGCAGATAATTCAATCATCTGTTTCCATAACTTAAAACAACAAATATCAGAAAATACATAAAATAACTACTACAAAAATAGCATGAGAAAAAACAATCTCTTCATCTCCCTTGCATCTTCCCCCACCCCCAACCAAAAAGTGAGAGAGGAGTGTGGTTGTGTGGTGGGCAGCAAAAATAATGTCAATTGTACTAGTCAAGGTTAGACAAATAATTGCAACAACAAAAGAGAACTCTAGTCCCACTCAATCAAGTATGGAAAATACTGAATAAAATTGCGTAGCCTTTTCAAGTGTATTATTTCCAAGGTAATACCTTTGTTACGTTTTACTTGTTAAGGAGATAATTTGGGATCTGATTTCTATTATTTTTGGAATGAATATTCGGCTGTAAATATACTTACCTTGTATAGTATTTTCTCCTTTACTGTATAACGAGAAGAAACCCTATTGAAAGGGGCATTCGGACCAATTTGACATGGTATCAGAGCCCCTACTCTGATTCTCGCCTTTCTGGTCTCAATCTTTAAGAAATTTTCTGAGTTGCGGTGCAAGGAATTTTTCCTCTCTGTCCGCGCACGTCTGTGGGGTTCCGACTTGTGAACTCCTCATCTTGGTGGTAGTCGACGTTTTTTTTTGGAGTTGCGAGTGAGGTTCTGTGCCAGTCGGCACTTTCTGTGGCCGTCGACAGCGACGGTGTGTGGCTGTAAGGCTTCAGCAGTTTCTGTGGGTAGCTACGTGGTGGTCGGCAGCTTCTGTAGTGATCGGCAGTTGCGACTGGGTAGCTTCGATTCCTCCTGGTGATTAGGCAGCCTCGATTCCTCCTGGTGTGGGTGACGACTGCATTTCGTAGGTCTTTATTGGGCGGTTTTTTTTTTTTTTTGTAGGTCTTTATTTGGGCTCTCTTTTTGGTACTGTGCAATTTTTTTTTGGGCTCTCTATTTGCTGGGTACTGTATATTTTTTTTGGGTTGGGCTTCGTGCTATTTTAGGTGGTTTTCTTTAATCATGTCTATTGATCATACTATTGTTCGATTTACTGGAAAGAATTTTTCTACGTGGGCCTTTCAATTTAAAATGTTCTTGAAAGGGAACGAATTATCCAATCATATTGATAGTTCTGTCCGTATTCCCGTTGATGAAAAGGAATTTGCCAAATGGAAGGTCAAGGATGCTAAGGTGATCTCTTGGCTATTGGGCACGATTGAGCCACATCTTGTCACCAATCTTCGATGTTTTACTACGGCTCAAGCTATGTGGGATTATCTGCACCGTATTTATCACCAACACCACAGCGCTCGAAAATTTCAATTAGAGCTGGAAATTAGCAATTATGCTCAAGGTAATTTGACTATTGAGCAATTTTATTCTGGTTTCATTAATCTGTGGAGCGAGTATTCTACTATTGTTCATGCTAAGGTTCCCACCGCGGCATGCTGAGAGTCAACGTGACCAGTTTTTGATGAAGCTTTGACATGAATTTGAGCCTGTTCGAGCGGGTTTATTGAACCGTAATCCGGTTCCTTCTTTAGATATTTGCTTGGGTGATTTATTGCGTGAAGAACAACGATTATCCACTCAAATGAGTATGACTTCTGAGAAGGTATTTTCTGAGGCTGTGAATGTCGCCGCACAAGGGAGAGGGAGGTACAAGTTGCAGTGTTTCGGTTGCAAGGAGTTCGGTCACATTGCTCGCAACTATCCAAAGAAAGTCTGCAACTACTGCAAGAAAGAAGGTCATCTCATCAAGGACTGTCGCATGCGACCTCCTAATCGTCAATCCCATGCCTTCCAAGTTGCTGTTCAACCCTCGTCTTCTTCTGCGCCCCCCACTGTAAGCTCTGAATCATCTGTTCTCACACCTGCCATGGTCCAACAAATGATTGTGTCCGCTTTTACGGCTTTAGGCCTACAAGGTACTACCTCTACCTCCACTTCTTCTTGGATTGTTGATTCGGGTGCCTCTAATCATATGACTGGTAGTACGACGGGTCTTCATGGTGTCCGTAATTATGGGGGCACACAAACTATTCAAATTGCTGATGGCAGTACACTTCCGATTACTGCTGTCGGTACTTTGGGCTCTTCATTTCGAAATGTTTTTGTCTCTCCTGGATTATCTACAAATTTAATTTCGGTTGGACAATTGGTGGATAATAACTGTGATGTTCATTTCTCTCGTGGTGGTTGTCTTGTGCAGGATCAGGTATCAGGGAAGGTGATCGCGAAGGGGCCTAAAGTGGGACGTCTATTTCCTTTACAGTTTTCTATTCCTAGTGTTGTTTCTTTTGCTTGTACGGCTATTGCCAATAATAATGAAGTATGGCATAAGAAATTGGGTCATCCTAATTCTGTTATCTTAACTCATCTTTTGAAACGTGGTTTTTTGGGCAATAAAGATTCACTTTCTTTATCTCCTATCTCTTTTGATTGTGCTACTTGTCGTCTTGGTAAAAGTAAAACTTTACCCTTTCCTGCGCATGGTAGTCGTGCTTCTACTTGCTTTGAAATTGTGCATACTGATGTTTGGGGTGTTAGTCCTGCTGTTTCTCGTGGTCAGTATCGTTATTTTGTAACGTTTATCGATGATTATAGTCGCTTTACTTGGATCTCTATTTTCTTCGTTCTAAAGCTGACGTGTTCTCTGTTTTTCAAAAATTTGTTGCGCTTGTTGAGACACAGTTCAGTACTTGTATCAAAACCTTACGCTCCGACTCGGGGGGAATACATGTCTCATTCCTTTCAGACTTATCTTCAGCAAAAAGGGATCATTTCTCAGCGTTCTTGTCCTTATACCCCCCAACAGAATGGAGTCGCTGAGCGTAAGAATTGGCATCTCTTAGATGTCGTTCGTACATTGCTGATTGATTCGTCTGTACCTTCTAAGTTCTGGGTAGAAGCTTTATCTACTGCTGTTTATTTGATCAATCGTTTGCCTACTGTCACTCTAAATTATGATTCTCCCTATTTTCGATTATTTGGCATTTCTCTTGAGTATCATTCCCTTCATACTTTTGGGTGTGTTTGTTTTGTTCATCTGCCACCTACTAATCGACATAAGCTTGCTGCACAATCTGTCATATGTGCCTTTATGGGATATAGCCCTACTCAAAAAGGGTTTGTTTGTTATGATGCTTATGCAAACAAATTTCGGGTATCCCGGAATGTAATTTTCTTTGAGAATCAATATTTCTTTCAGTCTCAGGTTCTTTCTGATCCTCCTATTACTCTTCTCCCTGCTTTTGATGATGTGTCTTCTTCTGTGCCTTCTTCTATTGAGCGATTTAAACCAGGTGTGGTGTATCATAGACGTCCTCCTTCAACGCCTCTTCCAGACACTGATCCTTCATCTGATCCTACGCCCAGACGCTCCACCCGACGCTCCACCCGAGTTCCACATCCACCAGATAGGTATGGTTTTTCTCATACCTCACTTACTGCCACTCTCGATACTATTCCTGTTCCTCGTTCTTATACTCAGGCAGCTACCCAAGCATGTTGGCAACAGGCCATGCAAGAAGAAATTTATGCTCTTCAAGATAATCACGCTTGGGATCTTGTGACCTGTCCACCTGGTGTAAAACCTATTGGTTGTAAATGGGTATACTCATTTAAGTTTCGATCCGATGGCTCACTAGACCGATATAAAGCCCGTCTCGTGGCCCTTGGGAACCGGCATGAGTATGGTCTTGATTATGAAGAGACATTTGCACCTGTTGCCAAAATGACTACTGTACGAACTATTTTGGCACTCGCTGCGTCACAAGGGTGGTCCCCTCGGCAGATGGACGTGAAGAATGCTTTTCTACATGGTGATTTGAAGGAAGAAATCTATATGTCTCCACCTCTGGCATGTTTACTACGCCTTCCTCAGAAGTTTGTCGACTACGTCGATCCCTGTATGGGCTGAAACAGGCTCCGCGTGCATGGTTTGATAAATTTCGCTCTACTCTGCTTGCTTTTCACTTTACTCAGAGTCAGTATGATTCCTCTCTGTTTCTTCGCAAGACTTCTACAGGAATTGTATTGCTTCTAGTCTATGTTGACAACATCGTGATTACTGGCTCTGATATTGAGTTAATTCAGCAATTACAACAGCATCTCAAGGCCTCTTTTCACATGAAAGATCTTGGTCCCTTGCAGTATTTTCTTGGCCTTGAGGTGCAGATTACTCCAACTGGTACATTGCTATCAGCACAAATATACAGAGGAAGTCATTTCTTTAGCTGGCCTTCAATTAGGTAACTCTGTTCTTACTCCATTGGAGGTCAATCTTAAGCTTCGTCAGGAGGAAGGTGACCTTCTATCAGATCCATCCTTATATCGGCAACTCGTTGGGAGTTTGAACTACTTGACGATTACTCGTCCTGACATTTCTTTTGCTGTGCAACAAGTCAGTCAATTCATGCAAGCTCCTCAACACCTTCACCTAGCCGCTGTCCGCCGCATTATTCGCTATCTAAAAGGTACCTCTACACGCGGGTTGTTCTTTCCTAAGGACTCCTCCTTACAGTTGGTGGGGTATAGTGACGCTGACTGGGCCGGATGTGTGGATACTCGTTGCTCTGTTACAAGCTGGTGCATGTTTTTGGGCAATGCGCTCATTTCTTGGAAGAGTAAGAAGCAAGACAGAGTTTCCAAGTCCTCCACTGAGTCTGAATATCGTGCTATATCTTCTGCCTGCTCTGAGATCACATGGCTTCGTGGTTTACTGGGTGAACTTGGCTTTCCTCAGCTTTCTTCCACTCCTCTTCATGCGGATAATACCAGTGCTATTCGGATCGCCGCTAATCCTGTCTTCCATGAGCGTACAAAACATATCGAAGTTGATTGTCATTCCATACGTGAATCCTTTGACAGACATGTGATTACTCTTCCTCATATTTCTACCGAACATCAAACTGCCGACATCTTCACTAAAGCTTTTTCTCGGCATCGGCATCAATTCTTGGTTGACAAATTGATGCTTCTTGATCTACAAGCATCAATTTGAGGGGGGATGTTAAGGAGATAATTTGGGATCTGATTTCTATTATTTTTGGAATGAATATTCGGCTGTAAATATACTTACCTTGTATAGTATTTTCTCCTTTTCTATATAACGAGAAGAAACCCTATTGAAAGGGGCATTCAGACCAATTTGACATTACTTACCGAATTATAGTCAGGAAAATAATCATATTAAAACTGACAAAGACTATTTCTACAGCTAATATTGTAACCAAATATTAAGTCCAGTAGGATAAGAAAACAATGTGACATCGCTTTTGAAGTATCAAAACGGTATTGCCATAGCGAACCTTCACAGGCTAACTACCTCAATTTTAAGCAAGTAGGAAAAATTAAAACAAAATTCATTTTTGGCACATTGCTTGGCCCCAAAATCCATTGCTGCTTATGCCGGATGAGTTAAGAACAAAGGAAGGATCTAAGGACTTCTTTCCAATCCAATCAAACTCAAAATTTTAAACCCAAGCTGCAGCTCATACTCAAGGACATAATAGACATAATAAGTAGTGAATATCCTAGTTCGTGACTACTCTTCATTGTTAAGAGCATGGATGCTAACATGCCGGAGAAAAATAAAAACAAAGAAATGGCAAAAGAAAAAATTATATTGAAGTTAAAGGAAATACTACAAGACGAACAGAAAAAAATAAATGTCACACACCTGTCCTATTCTTTGTTTGTGGGATACAGATTGTAAAATCCCTGTCTCTGGAACACGCTGTTCTACAGCCGACAAGAACATATTTGTGGCAAACTCTTCGATGTTTTCAGCAACGTTGCTCATCGCGTAAAGTTTGTTAGCCACCTGACATGCACAGAAACACAAGTTCAAAAGGTTTTAGAACAGAAACAATTACTTTAATCCATAGTCTCATTTCCCCCAGTAAGCGATTTTGAACCCCCTGGACAGCGCAAAAAAAAGGAATAGAACCAAATTTCCATACCAGACGGATAGCTTTTGCTCGAACATGATCCAGTGAGTGAACAGCACACTGCCATGTAGAATTACATTAGAAAGGGAACTACATTTTGCTGCAACAGACAAAAGATTCAAATCTGACAAGAGAGCCAGCATTGCTTCTGTGCTATGCATTTTGCACATAATAAAGTACAAACATATCAGTCTCTCATATTTTTCCAAGTTTGGCTTTTAACAAGTCAGTTGCAACTTATGGTCTGATAGACATGAATATATTCCAGAAAAGAAGCGAAGAAATAAGAACAAAATTGAAGAAACTCTTACACTGACAAGAAAATAATTTATGTTAACAAATATAAGTTTCCTCGTTAACATAGCAAAGGGATGCAAGTTAAGAAATCAAGGATAAAAGCACTGTACAGGGCAAACTTTCAGCCTATTCTGTATTGTGAACACATTTGACAGCACTGTATACCAAACAAAAATATCTTATTCTTCTCAGTCGCTGTTCAATAGTAAAGATCTGTGCTTTGTTTGTGTCAATTAAAAAAACAATCAGCAAAACTCAAAAGTAATCCAACTAATAGCTAATGATTTGAAAGTCGAGCAATCAAGGATGAAAGCATTATACAGAGAAAACTTTTAGCCTAATTTATAACCTATTCAAATTAGACAGAACTGTTCGTACCAAGCAAGAGTATATCTAATTCTTCTCGTCCTCTACTCGATACTAGATATATGCGTTTCAATTGCAACCATTATGAAAAACAATCACCAAAAATTAGAAGTCATAAAACCTATAGCCATACAATTAGTTTATGCATGGAACTGCATCCAAGCACATTATCTGACCTATGGTACCCTGGGCCGAGGTGGACCTCCGTGGTACGTGCAGGCCTTTAATGTTTAAAAAATTAAACAAACACAAAAGAGGAAACAGCCATTGCTCACATTTGTTCAATTTTTTTCTATGAGGGGAAAAAATCCTGTTAATATCCCCCAAATCCTCATTTTATTCCCACAATATTCTATTCTCTACTCACACAATTTTAAAAACTCACAATCTCAATCTCTTAATTCTGAGTTATTCGTTCCATGGATTTTTGAAAAAATTGTTTTAGCACATAGTTTTTAAATTTGTTACTTCTGCACTCACATTACATATTTATTCTTATTCACACTTGTTAATTTTAATACAATGGATCAAAGTTAATAATTTTAGTCGGAAAAATCATGGTGACACTGGTCATTGAAGAGCAACAGTAACAATAGCTAAATTGAGCACGACCGTCTACATGCAGACAAGCTGAATTTTCATCTGTTAAAAGGGTTTTGAAAATCCCGATTGAGGCCCGCCTCAGAGTGAGGCGAGCAAAAAATGCCTCAAGGAACTGGCAGTGAGGTTTTTGGAGTTGTAAGCCTCAATTAAGTGAGGCACACACCTCACAGCACAGCTCAAGGCTTATGTAGTGCTTGCTCCTTAATATCTAAACTTATACTTCGATTTAGGTGTGGACACACAAAACATAAAAAACTCTGATTCACCCATTCTGGAAATAGCCAACTACCAACTAAAGCATTAAAAACCGTGTTTTTCATATACCCACTTTGGGAATAGTCCACTGCCCCACTAACTAAAATAGTTTTTTTCTTTTTTGTTACTTCATTCATAGATCTTAGTTTATTTGTGCACCTAAATTATTCTATTATGAATTTTGAAGATTGTTAATAATTTATTATGAGCTTATATTGTGTATTTTAATAGTTTTTTGAGATTATTTTTACGAGGGAAAAAGTCTTGATACCCATTACGCCTTTTTAAATGTGGTCAATGAACTCATACTAATGCTAGGGGAGATTGTATAATGCTAATGCAATTTAGTCGACTTAGATGAACACTATTTCAGTGTGTATCCTATTCCTTCAAACATGGAGAATCATTTCTTCTCCTAAAATTCTTCACATGCCCTTCAGGTGTAAAATATATTTTTATTGATAAAAGTGCTGTGAAAACTTCAGATTCTATGCCTCCACTAATAAATATAATTTCATTCTCCACAAATTGTTCAGGTTTGACCATGGATGAAGTGGGTTGAAATAAATTACCCAAAAACGTTTACAATTTAATTCTCGTGATCAAAGTACCTTCAGAGCAATACCCAAACAGGCTTCACGATTGAGTGGCCGGCCCAAAATCAAGCTCCAAAGAACACCAAGGCCCTGAGTAACACGGTCACCATCACGACCATCTACTCCAGAATGACTTCGAGAGCATAAATCATCCAGTAGCCTTAATACAGACTCGGGTAAATAAGGAACCTCTCCAAGAAGTCGACTAAACGATTTGTCAGTTGCTGGGAAAGCATCTAACAAAGATTTTGCCTACAATGGAGAAGTCAACATTAATAACTTTGCACTGACAGTAACATGTCCAGTGAAAAAATACCTACCACTTCCAGAAGGAAGTTTTCGTACAAGGAAGCAGCAGATGAAGAGTTCTGAAACGAATCTGACAACATAAGAGCGCGTATATGATAAAGAACATGCATTACAAGCTCGTGTCCCTGAGAAAACAATCAATGAGAACAATAAAGTACAAAAATATTACGAAGAAACAATTAGTAAGAGAAGTACTGAGAGAGTTTGATATTTCTTAAAAGAGGATAGAGTACATTAGGCAGAGAAAGTCAAAGCTGCTCCTTGTAAGCGATGAATATAGATAAACATAGATTGATAAGCTTTTGCATGCCAAAAAAGGTGTTTTTATCTTTAAATTTGTTAGTCTTTGCTCCTATGGGTATAATAACAAGTATACCAAAGTCACCATACTCCATGGCTCACTTATAGCAGGAGTTATGACAGCTAAGGTGCTCAAAAGCTCTTAGCATTCACTTCTCTTTTGTACATTTGAGTTTGTTGCACCACCTTGAAATGTAGTTACAAGAAAATAAAAAAATAAAAAATCTTCATAGAAGAATTTAAGAGTTGCACCTAAACTTTATGAAAGAAGCTGTATAGAAGTCAAAATAAAACTAATTTTCTACCCAATGTTGTTATCTTACATAACTCCCCATTTTCAGTCGAAAAGCAATGTTATGATAAAATCACACAGAAGAAAAGACAGATGTTCCAGATAATCAAGAATGGACTGGAGTGGGGGGTTAGGGCCAAGAAAAGAGAATTCAAGGCCAAACAGAACGACTCGATCTTGCACATCAGATAAATTGATATTACTTCTTAGCAAGCCACAGAAAGTTAGTTTGAGTTTCTTTCCAATGGATCTCATACAACATACTAACTTCAGTCATATTATGGTGCATTCAGAACTAAGATTTGAAAGAATTGACAGAAAAGCATCAACACGAACAAGATCTCTTTTAACAGTTGTCAACATAAAATCTTAGCTGAAAATAAATCCAAATAAAGCAATTCAATATCTAAAGCAAAACATGCAGATTCATAACTACGATTAGCCAAATCATAACTAGCAACAATTTGAAATGTTGATGTGCGCCTAAAATTTCTCTTCCACTGTGCCAACTCACAACCAAATCCCCACCCTGAAAAAAGAAATAATAATACATTATTGGTCCCCAATCTATTCCCCGAGTGCAACTCAGTCCCCAACCTTAAAAATGAAAAAGTTTATCTGCAATCTCTCGAGTAAATTGCCTATTTAGTCACTGAACTTTCAGCCATGCTTCTAAGAAGTCACTGAACTTTCAAAATAACATAACAAGTCACTGAACTTTGCAATTCGTAATCCCACCGGTCACCGAGCAAACGGCAGTTAACAATTTGGACGGAATTTCCACGCAACAGTTGACGTGGCACAACAACTCAATAGATTTCGGCCAACTCGTCAAAATTGCTACACGCATGGCAATTCCTTTATTTTGAAACACGTTTTTGTAAAAAAAAAAAAAAATTGAAACCCATTTCATTTCTCTCCCAAATTGGAACTACATCCCTGTCCCTTTCTCTTCTCCTGCTACTGGATGATTCAGCTGTTGAATCTTCGGAATTCCTTCGACCTCTTGTAAAATTTAATTGTGGAAAAGCATTATTGGTACTAATTGTTGGCATAGTAGCATGTCCCAGTGGTTCTCCTCTTAGCTCTTCAAAAGCATTAAATCTTCGGAATTCCTTCTACTGCTACTCAATTGAAGGCTGAAGCTAATATCAGAAATCACAAATTGACAAAAATTCGCATATTATGGAGCCACTGGAAGGGATTGTAAAATCAGAATTGTTAATGTACTGAGTACCAACCATATCAATCTGGCAGATGTCGGTGGGAATCAGGGACCAATTTGCTTTGTCGGTGGAGGAGTTAATGTCAGGCAGTGGCAGACAAGTTCTTGGTAATGGGAGCCGCCATTTAAGGACTCAGGGTCGGACGGATTTTTTAATTTTGCCTGATTCTAAACATTGAATCAAATGTGAAAACCAGCAATTTTTTGGTAATGGATGGGAGCCGCCATTTGGGGTTTTTGATAAGCTTCAGGCTCAGCCCTCAGTTGCAGTTTGATAATGGAAAGATTATTTACTTTCTTTGTGATTTTGAGAATGGAAGGATTTTGGGGGAGAAATGAAATGGGTTTCAATTTTTTTTTTTTTAAAAAAAAAGTGTTTCAAAATGAGAGAATTGCCACGCGTGTAGTGAGTTGGCCTAAATCCACTGAGTTGTCATCCCACGTCAGCTGCCACGTGGAAATTCCGTCCAAATTGTTAACTGCCGTTTGCTCGGTGATTGGTGGGATTACGAATTGTAAAGTTCAGTGACAAGTTACGTTATTTTGAAAGTTCAGTGACCCCTTGGAAGCATGGCTGAAAGTTTAGTGACTAAATAGGCAATCCACTCGCAATCTCTCACTTGCACAATTAGTCCCAATGGACGGTTTCCATCCACAAATCCGGGAAAAGGTCATTTTTTTACTAAAATAACAGTTATCTCTTTTTTTTATATTAAAATAAAAAATATAAAAAAACCAAGAGAAAAAAAATTATCATCCCTGCCAAATGATGTTTCTTCTCCTCTCCCAA